GGAATAAGGCACAGCCAGGGGTTATGGGCAGGAGCTCTGGGGCCAGACATACCTGGGAGTGGGTGCTGGTATCTCCCCTCCTGGCTCTGGTGAGCTTCAGTAAGATAGTTAGCTGATACATAGTATAAGTTACTCATCTGTGAAACAGTGATTAATAATAATAACCACCTCCCAAAGATGTTATGGCTATTAACGGAGTTAACTGATGGTTAAAACAGGGCATCTGTGGAAACAATACTGACAAAAACAATAATGATCCTGGTTAATGCTTATCACAAATTTATTCTGCATCAGGCGCTATGAAAACTCCTGCTAGGGTCATCTCATTTGCTTTTCACTACAACCTATGAGGATTGACACTATTTCATGGTGGAGAAGACTGAGGCACAGAGACAGTAAGGGAAAATCCCCAGTCACACAGCTGATATGAAGAGAACAAGCTGAGATTGGCACTCAGGAAAACACCAGAACCCAAATTCCCGACCACTGCTGGGGATGGGGTATGGCATGGGGTGGTCCATTCCAGAGGGGCCTCGGCTGGGGCTGAAAACTCAGAGAAGGAATCAGAGAGGGCTGCTGTGGGCAGTGAATACTGGGAACACACACGAAGAGGGCAAAGGGGCCAGAAGGAAGGCAAGTGATGATGCCCTCCAGATGGTGGGAATAAAAAACTCCTAAGAAGTGCTCCAGTGGCTGTCCTTATGGGCTTTGGCCTCTGCTTGGGCTGTCCAGCAGCCTTGGGACACAGCTGGCCAGAGGCCAAATCCCATGAGGACAGCCACTGGAGCACTCCTGCGATCATGCTCCCCCAGTCCCCCCGAGGGTCCCTTCTCTGTGCTCACAGACCCAGACCTGCGCAGTGTCATCCCACCTCCTGATGGGACACTCATCCCAGCTCCTCTTCTCAGAAAACCTTCCCTTTACCTCCAGCCCTGGGGGACTGCCCTGGATCCCCAGTCCAGGGCTGGAGTTTCACCTGAATCCTGGAGAATTTTCTGTTCCTCCCTAACAGGGACATTATTACAGACCCTTACATGGTGGCAGGAAGACCTCTGTCCTGCACAATGTTGTGCGTTTGCAGGGAGCAGGAAAGGCTCTGGGTGGGTCCTCTGAGGTAGAACTGGGGTGCTGGTTGACAGGACAAAAACAGGAGGGACAGGGTGTAACTGAGGCCCAAGACTAGGGCTGGAGGAGGGGGCTAAAGAGGCTCCTGGGGGAGAAGGGGACACCTGGTGGCTGGCAAGGGGAGCAGAGAGATTTCAGCAGAGGGAAGGGGTGAAGCAGCTGCCACCAGGAGAGGGGGTTTAGGGAAAGGACAGGGATGATCAGAGGGATTTAAGGGGGTTGCCAGAGGCAGTGATACAGTATCCCTCTCTCCGGGATACAGTATCCCACAGTGGGCGCGGAGAGATGGCAGAGATGACAGGATCCACGACCTCCATTTGTGGATCTGGGATTCACCTTAACACCCCGTGGGGCAGGATGCAGAAGTCGCTATGATCAGAGGTGACCAGGGTGGGTCAGACGATGGTCATTCCCAGGATCCAGACGTGAGATGTCTCTCAGAATCCTTCAGTCTAAGAGACCTCCGCATCCCTGGGGTGAACCTGCCTTCCTGATGACGTGGTGGTGACTGCAGACAGCGAGGGCTGCAAGAGCCCAGGCCTCTCCCCCATAGGGTGGACTGAACAGAGACTCACTGTCACGGCCCACACAGCAGCCCTGAGCTGAAGATTTGTGGCTCTGTGTCACAGGGTGCAGCCTGTAGTCTCTGTGAGTGGGTGTGTGAGGCCTCTGAGCTGAAAGGGAGCCATTACCTCAACTAGGAATCCTCTCAGCTGGCTGGAGTCTAGTTGTCACATGTGACATCTTTGAGCTGTTTGTGGTTGGGGTCTAGGATGAGAGGCCTCTGAATGATTTGTGAGCCTCTATCCCAGGGTATGAGGTCTCTGAACTATTGGGGGGAGTCTTTGTCCAGAGGGGTGGGTCTCTGAAATGTTCATGTATCTGCATCTGAGAATGATTTTGAGAGGAAGGCAGGATGCACCTTACTCTCACAGGGCTTAGCACTAGGCCTGAGATTTCACATTTGCTGTGCTTTCCCCCATGCCTGCCCTGCTAGGGATGAGGGCTTAGGGCCCCCATCCTCAGGGAGGGCCTTTCCTCAGCCATACACAGCCCCTAGGAGCCATGGTAACAATACAGATCAAAGGAATATCTGTTTAGCATTACTCCCATCCTTGCTAGGGGCCAACCACTGTGACAAACCTATGGACATGTACTAACTCAGCTGATCTGCCCAATCCTCAAGGAGAAGGTCGCTATTTGCAGGTGAGGAGCCTGAGGCCCAGCAAGGGAGGCCAATCTAAGCTCCTGAGGAGGGAGGAACTGGATGTAACTTAAGCTTTTTGAAGGAGGCAGGGAGACGTCAGCACAGCAAGGCCAGGTAGGAGGTGACCAGGAAGGGGGAAAGCTGAGGTTAGTGCATGGCCACAAGGACCCTGTAACTGACTCATTTTCAGGATGTCTGTCCCTCTCTGGCGCTCACTCACATGCCCCGTTCCTGGGCACAATACTTGATGCACAAATGTAGAGGTGGTGGTAGAAGGGTAGACAGGTGAGGGAAGCACCTCAAATGCACCAATTTTCACAAAGCCTCAAGCAAACCTAGAGATTCCTGCCTCCACTTCCCTCCTTGCAGCATTTTTGGGCACTGAGATCGGAAGGAGGGCAGTCAAGGTCATGAGGGGGTGTGGGCAACCCTGTGTACAGCATAAGCCTCCCCATACCTGAAATGTGTCCTTGTCCTTATAGGCAGAGGGTCCTGATGTATGTCAAAGCAGTGGGACTGAGACCAAGACCACAGGCTGCTGAGGTATTTCCTAGATACCCCTGGGGAGGGGCGTCTTTTCCTCTGGAGAGACAGGCACATCATCCAGTAGCAGAGCTGGGAGCCCATAGGTGGGTACTAATTCAGTGGGGACAGTGGTGCTGCCAGATGGTCTCTCTGTCTCAGTCTCTCTAATGCTATCTTCCTTTCTGTCTTCTCTGTGCCTGAAACTTTGTCTCTGTTGCCCACCCACGTGGGTGGGACCTCACTCACCCAAGAGGACCCTTGCTTGGCCTCTCCTGAGGCTATCATCCTTTGACATGGATACTCATGGGGAACTGTTAGGGGGTTGCTCACGAGTCTATGGAACCGTCCAAGAAGGCATGTTCAGCTGCAGATGGGTAGAAAAAAGGTTCTCCCTTAGGGCAAGCAAGGAGCTGATCCCCATGTATTGGGTGGCCTGGGCCTCTGGCCTCTGAAAGGGGGCTTCTGAAATAGGGGCTTCTCTGCTAAAAAACCAACCGACCGACCGACCAACCAACCAACCAACCAACAAAAAGCCTCCATGGCTCAAACACGATAGTCAAACTCCTCACCATGGCCCTGAAGGTGCTTCACTATCTGGCCCCCATTACCTCTCTCACCTTGTCTCCTACCTCTCTCCCTCAACCATACTTAGCCAGCCACAGTGGCCTCCTCACTGTACCTCATACACCCTGCACTGAGTTCCACTCCTGCGTTTTTCTACTGGCTCCTACCTCTGTCTGGGATTGTTTTCTAGCAGATATTCATCTCCAGGTGTCTGCTCAAGGATCACATTCTTTGAAAGACCTTCCTTGACCTGATTCTAAAAATTGTCCCCCTCTATTTCATTATTCCGATTTAATTTTAATCGCAATTGCCAAATTACTTACATTTTTGTGCTGTATGATCCCAATAGAATGTAAGCTCCATGAGAGCAAGGGGTTTTTTTGTTGTTGTTGTTTCCACGCGGTCGTATTCCTAACACCCATAATAGTGCCTGACACATAATTTGGAGGGAATTAATGAATGAATGAGAGAATGAATAAGCAAGTACAAGGCTGTGGTGAGACGCATAGCTACACAGGCCAAAGGATTCTCCTAGGGAACATGTTCACGGGTGACAGGATGCTGACAAAGTCCGCAGTCTTTATATCACTTTCTCAGTGTCCTTGGGGCCCCCTGGAAGATGGCCCTTTCCCTAACAGAAACAAATGACTTATTACTGACAGTCAATCACAAAGGCCTGACACACAGCAGACCTCTAACACCATCCCCGTGCTCTACCCCTCCTGCCCCTGTTCCCCCACTAGACCTAGTTTGCATTGCCCACGGAGGCATAAGCCAGCACAACGCCTACCACATTAAAAAAAAAAAAAAAAAAAATCACTTTTAACGCTCCCTATTACACTGGCGGCCACCGGAGAGAGGTAAATTTCAGCTCAGGAAGACTTTCTCCCGAGTCCACCACTGCAGCAAGCTGGGGTTTACACCCTGGCTTTGCCCTCCCTCCCTTTGGGACCAGCCTGGAATGGTCCGTGGGCATCTGCATCGACCAGCCATTCCAGGTACGCGCCACTAAGGGGCGCGCGAGCTGGAACGGTAAGCGTCACTGGACACACCTCTCAGGGCCACAGAGGCAGGACCGTCCACTCCGGGAGGTACCACTAGAGAGGGGACTCCGATTTTGGAATAATCCATTGTGTATGTGACAGTACTAAGGGTCTGCTTATACAGCGTGTGGCATCAGCCACAGGTCGCAGCGGAGGCGCTAATGGCGCCGCCAGGTCCTTCCCCACTCGCTCCACTCCATTCTTCCTGCCCATGTGAGCCTATGTGAACACCGGGTCTCAGGCCGCTTTATTCAGTTGCACTTCGCCGACTCCACCCCTCCGTTTCTACATGGTTACGTCCAGCTGGGCAGCAACGAGGTGAGAGATTGGCTCTCCGATATATAGGGGGCGAGGGCAGAGGCTTTCTGGGTGATGATTGGTCCGGGAGAGAGTGTGCCAGAGTAAGCCCTTCCCGGGGCGCAAAATGGCTCCGGAAAAACTCCCTACTCCCCGCCCCTGTCTTCGTCTACCGCGTTCCCATTGGCTATCTAGCGGGGTCAGGCACAACGAGGGCAGGAGCTCTGGGCGAGGGGTGTGTGTGTGTGTGTTTGTGTGGGTGTGGGTGTGGGTGTGTTTGTTTGTGTGTGTGGCTTTTCAGAGGGCACAGTTTTTCTCCGAGTTGAACTGCTCACCGACTGACTGCCCCGAGGGGCTGAAGATGCTGCCCCAGTCGGTGGCGAGGTTCGGCGCAACAGCTCGCTTGTAGCCAGAGTCTGGCACTGGACGCGCGCCGTGACTGTGCAACTGTCTTCACGTGAGCTCTTTCAGTCTTGTTCAGCCCTAACTCGGTCACAAGCCTAGTCGGGCGCATTTGGCACGGCGCCATCAATTAAGTCCAGGGCGAGGTCTGTGCGCTTGTTTGGCGTCCCTGCCTGGGAAGTAGAGTGTGTCAAGCAGTTTGGGGATGTGTGTGGCTAGAGAGGACATCACAGGCACAGTTTGAGTATATTTGATCTTTCTGAGCCTTTTAGGAGATTGTGAGTGAATGGGATATTTTATCTGAGTGGATTTTGTACGGCACGGGATAAGGACTTTAGGCCGTGCGTGTCTGTATATCTGGGGGTGCATTTTCTGAGCTTTTTGCGCATTTATGTCCGTGGGGTTGAGATCTGTGTGGGCGTCTGCACCCCAGGTGTGAGGTCTCTGAGCTGTTTGTGATTCTGTTTCAAGTTGTGATATCTCTGAGCTGCGTGGGGTGGGGGGTATTATCTTAAGGTGTAAAGGATCTGTGCTGTTTGGGAGTCCAAGGTGTGGGTTCTCTGAAATGTCTGGGGACTTTAAAGATAAAGGTTATGTGATGTTTCTGAGTTATTTGAGCTTCTGTCTTTCCCTTTTTATTTTGAGGTCCTGGTAATAGCTTGGGAGGTGTCTGCAGGGTTTGGGAGTCTTCTCTAGGATGTGAGGTCTCTGAGCAGATTAAATTTGTTTCCTGGAGGGAACACGTTGATCTGTTGTGGGGGGTGGGGGGGGGCAGGAGTTGTTTCAGTGTGTATGGTCTCTGTTGTTTTTTTTGTATTCTGTGACTCAAGTTGCAAGCTCTTTGTGCAGAGATTTTTGGAATCTTTTTTAGGGTGTGTTCAGGGATCTGTTTTTGGTGTCCCTGGGTATCTGAGCTGTTTGGGGTCTGTGTCTGAGAAGTAAAATCTTTTATCTTTGTGGTTGTGAGGTCTCTTTCCAGGAACTGAGGGGTTTGGAAGCTGGCAGATATGATTCCACAGCCCGGACCCCCAAATCCTGGTTGTGTGTCATCGGGAAAGTCATTTGTTTCCTGAGGATTAAATATGTGTCAGCATCAATAAAATGGGGCCAGTGCGTGTCTTGGAGGGTACCTGTGCAACTTAGAAGTGTGTGTAAAGGTCCTGACTCCCAGCCATCCTTCCACAAGAATTTTCTGATCACCGGCTGTGTGCCTGAGTACTTTCCTTGGAAGTTGGAAGTACAACACAGGATAAAACTGACAAAGTGTCTTATTCCCTAGAGTTAGCCAGTAAATGTATTGACTGTCAGAGGATGTCAAGTGCTACATAGAAAGAGAAGGCGGGTTGGAGGAAGGAGTATGTGGGGATCATGTTGGTATTTATGCAGGGTGATGAGGGAATGACTCCCTCAGAAGGTAATGACTGAGCAGATTCCTGAGGAAGTGAAGGAGCAGGCCGTGGAACTACCTGCAATTGTTAGAACATTACAGGCAGAAGGTACAGCAGGTGCAACAGTACTGAGGGGAAATCCACTGAGTGTGTTCCTGGATATCAAGGAGTCCTGTAATGCTGGCAAAAGCCCTCAAAACTGGTTTGACACATAGAGCGCAGTGAAAGGTGTCTGGTGTTGCTGTCTCTATTTTTCCCACAACCTGTGAGGGAGGTGGTCTTCATCCCCATTTTATAGAGGACCCGAGGCTCCAAGAAGTGCCCAGAATCTTCTCTCCTGTTTACACCTGAAATTGCTAAGAGGAGTGAAACCTTGTGCTCCATCATGAAAGACTTGAGACATCAGAGGCTTGAGTGTCAGAGCTGCAGGGCCCACACCATCCAGTTTGGATGTCAGCCAGCCAGCAGATATAAGCGATAATATGGGAATCATGCCCCTCATTACATTTCTACACTTGATGGAGGTCCGGACTGAGAAAGAAATGGGGCAGAGAAGAGAGGCAGGAAGGGGAAGCTGGAGAGCAATGAGAAAAAAAAAAAAAAACCCAACACACTGGCTTCATGATGTTGCCTGGATTTGCCCCAATTCCCTTTAATTAATTGATTGTATTGAGATATATTCACCTCTCCCCCTCCCTTTTCTTTCCCTTCCCTTCCCCCCTGTTGTGCCTGAGCAGTTCAGCCCTAAAGCCATTAGGTGCTACAGAGCAAGGCAAGTGTGTGCATGTAGGGGCATCCCACACTTGGAGTCAGAGCCCAGGCACAGTGAGAAGGGCATCCATACATAGGGGCAGACTGCATTGGGGACAGAGCCCAAGGTAGTAAGGAGGATGTCCCTGGGGGTTGGATGGGGAGAAGGCTAACTGGCTCAAGGGTTCAAACTTCAGTGGAGTGTGGAGGTCAAGGTCAGGGATTGGTTCAGCAGAGCATGTGAGGGTGGGCCTCTGTGTGCAACTGGGATGCCTTATATACTTTAGGATTCGTCAACTCACTAAATGTGGAAGACCCGACTCTCACTTTTGGAAGAGGAAATTTCAAATACAGAAAGGAAGAAAACAAATTCTGAGGTGTTCTATTGGGATTGGAGGTCTCCATGTGAACTCATGCTTTATGATATGTATGTGTGCGTATGTGCATATGTTGATAGATACAGATGTACATATGTATGCGTGTGTGTTTGAATGTGTACATACATGTATTCCAAACTTTCTGGAAACAGCAACATCCCAATAGTAATAAGTACACCTAGCCCCGATGTCCTGGCTTCTAAATATTATTCTGCATTCAGTGATGGGTTCCCAGGCTGGGAGAGCGAAAGGACAAATGAGCCTGGCTCAACTTGTGGTACCAATCATAAGGGACAGTTCAAGGAAACTTGTGGTACCAACAATAAGGGACAGTTCAAAGACTGATTTGGTGATGTCAGAAGGACACAGAAAACAGCCTGAAGGGGCTCCCACTGGACATTCTGGGGATGATTTTATTTTTTCAGCTTTAATGAGATACTATTGATATATAACATAAGTAAGCTTAAGGTATACACGGTGATGATATT